GTCCTGTCCAAACGGCCTGGTGATACAGTACTTTCTTCAAAGAATGCACTCACTGTTCGAACCAGACGTTGAGATTTCCCATGCGGAAGCAGTGCGTGGCGCTGGATACAAAATGGGTACGGCGAATGATCTTCTTGAAAGTATTACATTATCGTCAGAGTATGAAAGGGGCCCATGGCCTTGACTCACATGACATCTTCAGCCTGAGGGTGACGCATGAAGGTGACGGCTTCGATAGTAGCCTGGACTTTGTTGACCCAAGTTGGGGCATTTGGACTCCTCCATCGGAGACCCGTCATTGAGCATGCAACTTTTGTAGTTGTGGAGTAGCACAGATAAAATAAATATGAACGACGATAGGGCCAGTAATCTTTGGAATGTCTCGAAAGCAAGGGGGATAGGTAGGTCAAGACGTGGCGGCTTGGGAGACGAGAATGTGTGATATGTTGCGAGGCCAGGGCCCCTTTTGGGAATCCTACACGGCTCAGCTAGAAGAAGGTGATGCATCGACGGCTGTGGAATACGAATGGGTCAGTCATCAGCGAGATTCGAGTGCCGTTTTGGTAAGCTCTGCCTGAATTGTATCCGTGTCATCCCATACTTTGAATGCGTGGAGCTAGACTGCCACGAAAGGCTTGAACGCGACATACTGGACACTGAGTGCCCCATAGACGGTAACTGGATGACTGAACCTACAGTGTTGTGTGGTTTATAGCTGCGTATAAGTATATTGCCACGAATATTGCTTCCCGGTCGTGAATATGATATCTCGGAGGCGAGATCTGAACGAGCATTGAGATCTCAAGTGTTTGGAGGATGGCTAAGTTGATGACTGGATTCCGGTAATTCCGCGGAGTCGTGACGGAACGGAAGCCACCGGCTAGTTTGCTTTGGTAAGTCTGTTTGTGATAATTCCCACATTCAAGGAGCATCTTCATCCGGTCCTGGCATCATCATGTTGTTATGTATGTTGTAAACACGAGATGATTGAATTTGTCCTCTGACCGCCTCTTCTTTTCAAGGAACCTAAGAAGCAAAGAAGAATCAATAAAATTTTCTAGTCTGAGAAGCTGAACAATTCTATCTTCTCGCAGGCAATAAGCCGTCAGGTTATTCGCAGGCCATGGATAGCTTTCTGGGAGAGGGGCGAGAAGAGGTCGGGACCAAATTTGAAGATCAAGAGATCTATTTTGCTGCTCTGGTGACGCGGAGACCTCCTGAACTACGCCTGAGTTTTAGTCGAAGTGTTCAGCGTGGCAGTCTTGAAAGTGATGTAGATCTTAGGCCAATGATTCAAGGTACCCATTGAAATTCAGCGCCACCCGTTGATGTCGTTGGAAACGACGGCGATAGAGGATTTCAATGAGCAGTGTACTGAAGTAAAGGAGGAAGCCGTGACCGTGACCTAAATCTCGAAAGACGGACGCATGGAGGAGGCCAATTCCGTCGTTGTCGTGACGAGCCTCTCCTGAGCAGAAAAAGAGAAAAATCACAGAGTCCGTCTGCAATACATGATGGACTTAGGAGCCATCTTGGATCTAGCTAATTGCAATGAAGTAGGCTTGAACTTGTTGCTCCCTCCATAACAGGGAAATGGTGAGGATCAACAGAGGTCACGATTTTCGCTGGATGATTCAAGTCGAAAATGCACAAGGGCTTGTTTAGCCATGAGACTCGTATAAACCCAGAAATCCCAAGTATCAACTACTATCACAGCAAACGGTGAAATAATTCTTGAAATACCTTGCTGCGATGAGGTTTGCTCGGTGAGAAGTCCTTTTGACGCCACAATCTCCCCTTTCCTATCCATCTCAAAGGGTTACCACCAAGTTCTCTGTGTTTTAATCTGACATCAACCTTTTGTCCAGATTCTTGGTTGCAGACATGACGCAAGTTCTCCTACACACATCGGTGGCGAACTGCGGTTCCCGAACTCTCGCACCTATCTTTGATCTGGGCCTTACGGTCCAGCCATGGTTGACTCAGACGCCTCAGAGCGTTGAGAACCAAATAGAATCGCTCGACAGCGCCGTTCATCACCAAGCATGTATATTCAAAAGGCTCTCAACTCCTCGAAGCATTTGGTATCTTGCATGCATCACGGTGCCTAATCCTTCAGAGCCGGAGCTACGCCAAAGCTCCAACCAAGATATCGAGCGGCTGTCCGACTTCCGGCTCAT